TTTTTAATTTTTATGATATACAGTGAACTTCCGATATAATGATGGCTGAATAGACTTCGTTAAAACGAGAGAATCGTTTTATCTAGTAAAGATTCGATGTAATTATGTTTGAATGAAAGCTAACAGCATCCTACAAACGAGTAAAAACATTGTATGGAGAGCAGGTTACATTGAAAGTTCACTATAATTGGAAATCTTGGTATTTTTTTATCCTGTGTTAAAAATCGTTAACGCTAAGCTCTTAAATAGAAATAAATATAAATATTGTTTCTGAAATCTTTTCTTACCAGGTGGAATCGTTACACATTTTTCATTATGATATGCACTGCTAACTATTTTCAAATGTGTTAAATATTTTGATTTTTTAACGTTTATTATGACTTACTTGCGATAAGACCAGCGATTAAAATGATATTCAAGAAGATCTTCATTATGGCAAAGAGAAGTTAAGAATACTCTTCAATGTTGTATGAATTACTGATAATGTTAGTTTTAAGAAACTGTTAATTATACACTTATTAACAAAAAAAAATGAAAATTTTCCCCCTCTGCTAAGAAATTGTTTTTGGATGATATTACATTCTTCATCGATAACGAATCGAGATGAAAATTTAATACATGCAAAAAATTTCCAGTTCAATATTTTCTCATATGAAAGTCAAAACAGTTATTCAAACAAAAATTGTTTTTATATCGATATTAATGAACAAGTGCTTTAAGAATCAATATTCACAGAATTAAATTAATAAAAATTGAGTTTATCGATCGCACAAACATTGTCTGTGAAACTGAATCAATGAATTAAAAAAATGTGTAATAAACAGGGGTCGGAAGCTTAACGATTTTTCGCAAAAAGCTTCCGAGCTTCCGCTTCGGCTTCTCAAAATTCTGAAAAAGCTTCTAAGCTTCCGCTTCGGCTTCCCAAAATTCTGGAAAAGCTTCTAAGCTTCCGCTTCGGCTTAAATTCATAATAAAATTCAAATCGAAATCTTGACTCTGTGTATATGAAATTTCTTTATGAAGAATGCATTTACCAAATTGTGTGTGAATGTGGACTTTGATTAGTAAATCAAATTAATCATCATTAATTAAATTATTATATTTATGCAAAATATAAGATATTAAAACACTTTTTGGAAGAAATAATTTGAAAAAATCTGATTCCTTAGATCATAAACATCATTACCCATGTTCACATAAGGTTTTCAAATTTGTTTCAAGCGAAAGAGCTTTTACCTCCACTAACACTTAAGTGGTGTATGGTTATCGTAAATCATTTGAAAATCGAAACGCAATGTTCTTTTCAGATAAAAAATTTCTTCGAAGTTTTAATCATTCTGATAATAAATCCATAACTTTTATCAAGAGTGTAGTTCCGATCATCAATACTCCTCCACTTGTAGATAAACTTAATTCTTTTCGCGAAATTTTTAGATTTGTTTATAACACCGGAAGAAATTAAAGAAATCTTATCAAAATTAAGTTCCGGTGATAATAGGTTTCATAATCCCGCTGGGATCGAAATTTTTGGAATTTACTCGACTATTGGAAATTTGTTAATGAATATATCAGGCTGAATAAACGTGGATCTTAAAATTTTCACTCACATTTCTAGTTTTCGACCTGAAGTTTTATTAAAAATTATAACTCATTAAGAATCTCCCAAATTTATTTTCTAAAGCAATCAAGAAAAACTTTTATTTTAATTTATTTTATTTTTTAATGTTTCCGTGCGGAAATAAAA